CTACCACCACCCCCCCAAGTATATTTCAGATCTGTGGGAAACAGTGTCTTCCCTACTTTTATAATTTTCGAATCATAAATCTAATGGCCATAAGCAAAATGCTAACGTTATGCTATAAACAAACTACAGCCGAGTACAGCACGTTCGCACAACTTCAACGTCACACCAACTTAAGATCGATATTCAAACATACAGATTCTAAATTGTACAAGTTGAAGCGTTTGTTTTAACAGTTTGCAAGAGCGCAGGTACTAGCCTTCAAGCAGAACAGGGGCAAAAAAACTTAGCGGGAGTGTTTACGTCTTCGTAGTAATGACGTGCAACGGCCTGGACAACTTCTGTAGTCCTATTCAGCCACTTGTTAACAACCATCATTTTTCAGACTCGTAAACTCTTCAAAAATCACCAGTGGGGTCACTGCTGGTGTATTTAATGTCGTAGAACAAAACGTGATCTGTCTCTTAAATTTGTGTCAACCACAGACCTTATTCCGAGCTATTTTCCAAAATCCTATGGAGAAATCCCATTGACTCTGAGAAGAGGGAACCGATAGTGGTAAAATGCTAACTCACTTCCGGGTTTTAGGACTCGTTATAAGTGGTGCATGCACAGTCCGCACCTCTTCAATGCAACAGATAGGAGCAGCTCGGGGCGCACCAAACTACGCCCAAAGCAGCTGTTGACAGTGCCAACAACTAGGGGGCAGCAGGAGCGCCAGAGTGAGAGATTGATGTTTGAATGAGAGAGAGTTAGAAGGAGACGGAGTGTAAACAAAACTAGATAGCGAATATGGAGAAGGAAAATGATGTTTAATCACTTAAAGAAACACTCTTTGAGAGGAGGACACTGGAGGTAAAGCTGAGAGTAAAAGAGCTTGGACCTGATCAGCCTGACATAGGCAGGAGTTAAGGACAGAGGAAGGCAGTATACCCGCTCTTTTTGAAGGAGCTGGATTAGCAAGAAGGCTTGGCTAACTACCTGTAGCAACACCAGGGCTATATTTAGCTTCCCCTGCCTCCCTTTTCAAACGTCAGGATCAGACCAGTCTCTGAACCAGACCCAGCATGGATCCAGACAGATCTGAGTGACTTAAAGCACATATCAGAAAAAACTAAAAGGCATGAACAAACTAGAGTCCACATGGATGATGCTATGCGACTAGCCATGTTTAGGAAAGTAAACACAGCTGTCCAATGAAGGCTACATGATAGGGATCTGTAACATAATAAGGAGGTTGACAAAAACAGGTACTAAAATAATATGTAAGACTCTATCAAGTGCTGTGGTGCCTTTGAGCTAGCCCTGCGTTGTAATATGACGTTGCTTACATTTTGGTAGAGCCCCCCCTGGAGAAAAATGCACCAGCCTCCACTGCTTATGACAGCTTCAAAATAATAACATGGAAGCTTCATAGTCTGATCCAAGACGGCAATACTCGTTAGTACAGCTAATGTGAACAGCAGCTGCAGTACTGCCTCCAGCGGCCCATCGGGATTCGTCCCGATGGGCCGGTACCGAAGTGGGCCGGTCGAATAAGTCACTAGCATCAGTTTGAGCAATTTATAAAGACGTCCAGGTTGCCAAGTGCTGATAGATTCTCAGGAAATGTATGCCATTTGTCCGTCTGATTTCTGAGCCTCTGGAGAAGTGCTTTAAGGCAGCGGGCCAGAATCTTTTTTTTCAAGAATGTATGAACAGCGGCGCTGATCGCCTGAATCACCTTTTTGGCAACTAGTTGTCAAAGAAAGAAATCACGAATTTAAGCAGCACTTAAGTTTATAACTTGACAGGCTTGATGGCTGTCAGTGAGATACTCTTTACCATTTACTAATATTGATAAGTCATTGTTAGCCTTATATACAGTATATGTAACTTAATTGAAGTGCCAAAATCTTTAAAAATGCATTATTGCATGGGCTTTACATTTCAGTTACAATTATATAAATATTGCTCTCCTTCACAATGATTACAAATCCATGGTCTTTACTCTCAATATTTGTAATGTGTTTGCGTGAGTGCACGCTTATCCATTTTTGTTTAAATTAATAATTGCAATTTAAAGTCTGTGCATTTTATCCGTGTGAATAAATTAATAGCTTTTTGACTATTAAAAGGCTGGCTGCCCATGTCAGTCTGGGAGTTTCTGTAATCTCCTGACACCCTGCACAGCAAACACATTCCTGCTCCACAAATCAGCTGCAGGAAATGGCTGTTTTGCAACAATCTGATTCCTCCAACATCAGCAGGCAGACAGCCACTCGAGTGCATGATAGCAGCTAATGGAAGCGAGTAACCATAACTGTCAATACGCTGTTACACATGTCTGAGATCCTGCTCACATTCTGAGGATGTGGATGACTGTGTGGCTGGATAACATCCTGAGCTGACACCTCTCAGTGAGTCAGGGCCACAGATCCTCTGGGTCAACTGCTGGCTGCAGAATTTGTCAACAGGTCTTAACCAAGTGGCGTTTATCATGGCCGACAGCTGAGACACTGTAGTAAGATGTTTCCCAAACTATTTTCAACTCATTAGCCCTTCACCACAGTGCTGCTCCATGTGAGTCCATATGAAGTTTTAGAGGTGTTCTACACTCTCCAGTGTAAGCAGGAAACATACTGTATGTCACCATGGATACCTCATTCAGAGCTAGCATAAGCTAACATCTATCCATAAGCAAGCACAAACATATGAGTGAATCGTCCTTTTGGGTCGATTTAAACAACCAGACTCCAAAAACATTTGATTGCTTCTTGACTGAGTCAAAGCCTTAGGCAGTGACCTAAGTCAGGATCCCAGTAGCCTGAGGGGAGGGGTCTTGCTGGACCTCTCAGAACCTGGTACCTCCCTTCTGACCTGAAGAGACTGAAGGCAAAATACTCTTCTTATCTGAATTGTCTATTAAATGGTTGATGGCAGGCACAGAATATGGGCTAATGTCAGCTCGACACAAACCCTGAACTTCTGTCAATTAGTTCATGAGAGACCATGCATTAATTATTGCATTAATATACATCAAGGCTGTTTTCAAGTAATATATCTTCAGGTATCCAGCACAGAAGGCGGCTGAGGAAAAAAAGTGCTGATGACGTCAGGTGTTTTATTTGCTGTCTTCTTCAAGGTAGACTCTTCACTCATTGATCACACAGCGCTTTTTCACTGCAGCACATAGCACAGTTTAAGCGGGCCGGCTTTTTTTTGCTCTTCCACTAGGGCAGTGGTTCCCAACCCGGGGGACGCCAAGGATCGCAGGGGGGGCGCCAGGCCTCAGATGATTTTAGGCCAAATATCATATTTAGACTTTTTTTATTTAATTATTATAATTTTTTTTTACATATAATTGTAATGCAATACATGATTGTCACTAAAAGCCTTGTCTCTACATTACAATAAAATATATTAAAATAATTGATTAATTTGAATACAAATTCAAGTTAGTAGCTATTAAAGGCATAAAAAGACAGACATTTATAATTGTTTCTTTAATAGAAATGTTTCTTCTGCCCGTAAAGTGTCCAAACCAGGCTTTTCTGGATAAGCGCATTTTTAAAACATAGTCATTGTCCATGCCGGTTTCAGTTGGATTATTTGTCACATTATTTCCGGCGCGGACCCCAGCACCCAGGGCTGGCCCTCACCAATTTGCCGCCCTAGGCAAGATTTTAGCTGCCTCCCCACCGCCCCCAAGAAAATGCAGACACTCACTATGATTCGCGTATGCATGCACGGTTGTGGCATCACCAAAACAGAAACATATGGACACAAGATGTGTGCAAATGTATTTAGTGTCCTATCCATTTGAGCATGATTTAAGTGGGGAGTGGACCTCACATCCTCTAGGGGGGTCCGGGGGCATGCTCCCCCGGGAAGCCGTTTAGGACAGATTGAATACCGGTGAATACACATACTTTACAGAGATGCTGTATGAGAAACCAATGTGAGTTTGGGAAATTGCACAATATAAATCTATTTTAG